CAGTGCCGTTGCCGCGGCGGCCCGGCAGTGGTGTGAGGAGCGGCGGGCTGACCCCCTCGAGTGGCTGAAGGAGCTGCTCACGTACCTCTCCATAAACAGAGACCTCAAGAGCAAAGTGTGTGTCGATGGATGGATGGATGGATGGATGGATGGATGTGCACGGCCGTCGCATCGCATTCTGTACAATCGTGTTGTGTATCTTGTGTGTGTTGTGTGTTGTGTGCAGATCCAGCGCGTTGCGGCTGAGGAGATCACGTCTACAGTGCAGTTGGGCGAACTCTTAGGTAGGCATGGCAGAGGATGTGCAGGCAGGCAGCTAGGCATGCACCAACCATGAGTATCGTTTTCCATGTGTTGCTTGCTTCCTCCCTTCCTTCAGCCGAGGAGGCGCCGGAGGTCTACCAGCAGGCGTTGGGTGTGCTCAAGGGCGACAGCTATGTCGATACCAGCGGGCTGCTCGCAGAGGCCACCCTGTCGATGGCATACAAATACCAACGTACGAACGACTCCATAACCACAGACACACACACACGCGCGCACACACACACCCCAGAGTATGTGGGTGTTTGTGCGGTGTGGTGTGTGTGTCTGATCCATCCATCCATCAGTTGGCGTGGAGGCCGTGCACTGCGCCCTGCGGATCGGTCGACAGGCGCTCCGGCGCGTCCAGGACAACGCTGCCAACTCAAACAAAGTACACCTTAGTGGGAGGGAAAGCACTGCACCGTCGGGTAGCCAGCCGTGTGTACTGCAGGCGCGATGTGGGTGTTTGGGGCTCATCCGCGGACTGCTCAGGGCTGCGGCCAAGTACGGCCGGACAAGGCCTGGCTGCACCGTCACTCGCCGCACAAAGGAAGACCTGTGTGCATGTCATGTGTGCAGCGAGAGCGAGTTTCGTGTGGGTGAGGCGTATGGGGTTCTGGAGGTGGATCCACCGCAGCTTCGGGATCGCTGGCTCGACGCACTACGTGAGCCAGCAACACCCACTCAAACACCAAACACCAGCCTGACTGACCCATGTCGGCCTGCCTGCCTGCCTGCCTGTCTGCTTGGCTGTTGTGCTGACAGGTCGTTGTGTGGATGGTGGCGAGAGCAGCCTGGCGTCGCAGCTGGTGGTGGGCATGTACAAAGAGCTCGACGACCGCACACTCAGACAAATCAACACCAATCAGGTCAGTGAGTCAGGGGGCAGGGGGACCATCATGTCAATTGGCCGATGCATAACTGGTGCTCCACTACACTGCAGGACCACGTGGCACTGGTGCAGCGCGTTCTCACCACCTACATCGATTTCGAGATCTCTGTGTGGCAGAGCATCTACGAGCGGGCCAAGACCAATCCTAGCCCCGATCCACTGGGCGACTACGGCCGCTACGAGGCCACCACGGCCCTCTGTCGCCACCTGCAGGCCAAGCACTTCGGTGACCAGGAGGATGAGGATGACGGCGATGATGACGGCGAGGGGGAGGGGGAGGGTGGGGGCGAGGAGGCACTCGACCGCACCGCAGAGCTCTATCGAGACCTCGGCGACACCGATCTAGCGATTGTCGAGGGGATGGATGCGTTGCTCGATGTGAGCGAGGGAAGGAAGCAGGAGCAATATGCTAACTGCCAGAAGGTGTTGCTGCTGTGTGTGTATGTGTCACTCCTTTCTCTTCTCTCTCTCTCTCTCTGTGTGTTTGGTTCGTTCCCCAGTGCCGCCCACGAGATGTGCTGCTGGAGGAGCTGCTCGAAACGGGGCCACCTGCACGTACACACACGCACACACGCACAGACGACAAGCGAGTCGCATTGGTTGGATGCCGCACATGTGCGGTTGGTCGGCGTGTGTGTGTGTGTGTGTGTGTGCAGTGGCGGCCACCCTGTTTGAGATCGTGTTGCGTCGCGTGCGTGAGGAGGTCGTCGAGTTGGATGGCGACGTGTCATCAGAGGAAACCAGGATGCGTCAGAGGGCTATCGCAAAGGTACACACCCCCACAGCCACACACACACACACACACGCACACACACAACAGCCCCTCCCTCTCCCCCACCCTGCCAAAAACCATGATGGATGTGCCCGTGTGTAGGAGTTTGGTGTGTGTGTGTCGTCTTGCGGCCATGTGTCGGGCCACCTGGGTGGCCTGATGGACGACGATGACGACCAGGAGGACCCTGACACACGACTCAGAGGTGGGTCAGATCGGGCATGACATGGTGGTGGACTGTCTGTCTGTCCTCTCTCCTTCGTATGAGTGCATTCCCTCCCTCCCTCCCTCTCTCCCTTGTCTGCACATCCTTTCTGCAGGTCGCATTTTGGAGATGGCCTTCGAACACCTGAGTCCGCTCATCAACGACGAGGGGCGCCCGGAGGGTGAGGGGCCGGCCGGGTGTGTAGGGGACGCTCACACGCACCATGGCTGCCTGCGTTTGGTTTGCCCAGAGTTGCGTTGGGAGGTCCTCGACTGCGTGCCGGCCGCCCTGAGCCTCTCTGTTCATAATGGGGAGTGGCACCGCGACCATCAGGTGACCTGAGCGACAGACGGCACCATCCGCCGCCCGTGTCCGTGTGCGTGTGATCTCTCCCCTTTTGTCTCTCTGCTTGAGTGTCAGAACGCGTCGCTTGCCCGTGGTGCGGTGGGGCAGATGATGGACCTGGCCGCTGACGCCTGTGATGCCACTGTAGCGAGAGAGGTGAGCTATGCATTGCACCTCGCACCCGTGCACACCAGGGTGGGTGGGGTGCATAGTGGGTTACACACACCACACTTGCTGTGTGCGTGCAGGAGCCTGGCGCGCCCGAGATGACCCCCTTGTCGCTCATCGCCCTCCGTGCCCTCAGAAAGCTCGAACGTTAGACAACAACAACAAGTTTGTTCTGAGGCCCATGTCTTGTCTTGTCTTGTCTTGTGTTTTGTGTGCGCAGCGGCAGTTGTGTTCCACATCGTGGGGCCTCTGGTGGCTCAACAACTCAGCAGTGAGGATCCCTCAACCGTCAAGGCCATACACATAGAGGTCAGCCAGCCAGTCGGTCGACCAAACCAACAAGGGGGGCTGGACGACCGAGGGAATACTCTTTCATTCTCACTGCTGTCTGTGTGTCTGTGTGTGCAGATGGCGGCTGCATATCGCACACGCGCCGACGACTTCGACAGCAACGACCAAGCGGCCTGTCGCGAGGTACGCTCACACACACATCACATCACACCACACCACACCCAGCCTGACCGCCTTGAGCAGATATCCAGCAAGATCCGTCGTGTGGCCTTCGCGCGCGACCGAGCCGGCGTGTCCACTCGCGCCAAGGCCCTCATCCACCTCACCTCGTCAATCGCCATGCTCCCCAACTACGTAGACTCTACACAACACACAAAACCACACACACACACATGCGATCTCTCCCTATGTCTGTGTGTATGGGTGTGCAGATGCAGCAGGCTGAGAGCCGCAACCTCCTGGCCGCGTGTGTCAAGGAGGCCGAGGCACTGGCCATGGACCGCGCCGTGCTGCTGACGTGCATCAAGGACGTCATCATGCGGCTGGGTCCGCGGCCGTCGCCAATAAACTCGCCGTCAGAGGAGCTGGACGGCGGGAAGGAGCTCCGGCAGAGCCTCCAGGGGGTCGTCAGCGAGTGCATGCGGCACCTGGGCAAACACAAACCTGTCGGCGACAAGGCCCTCAAAACTCAGGTACACACACACACACACAGACCGGTGTATGGCTGTGTGCGTGTGTGTGTGTGGAATTGGCAGCATGCCGCCGTCGATATCATGACCAAGATCGTCGAGGTCAGCATACTACCACAGGACAGAACAAGCAGTCTCGTGTGGTGTGTGCATATGGTGCCACACGTGTGTATGTGTATGTGTATGTGTATGCGTGTGTGTTTGTCTTTGTTTGTTTGTCAGAAGTGGCCTGCAGCTCTTGGGCGGGATGGCGTGACGGGCCAGCTGATCGACTACCTCCTCAACGTAGCACTGGTCAGTAACTGCACAGCACACACATCAATCAAGTCTGGATCCATTCCATCGATCGGTACAGACGGCTGCGGCTCTGTGTGTATGTTTGTGTCTCAGAGTGTGGGTATTGACGTGTCCAAGTGGTTGTGCGGGACGCGCCAGCTGTCCGAGAGCGCCATCCTCTGCTCAAGGGTCATCATTACCAACGCAGACGCATCGGGCCAGGTGTGTGTGTGTGTGTGTGTGTGCCGGCCACACAAATCGCACACGAAATGGTTTAGTCTCTCCACCTACACCGGTCTGTGTGTGTGTGTATGTGCGTGGATGGATGGATGGATGGATGCAGGAGTTGTCTCGTCAGATCGTAGAGTCGGCCGTCAAGTTCCTGCCAACCTTCAAGCTCGACCGAGAGGCGGAAAACAACAAGCCGCCACAGCAGCCACTTCCACAGGCACCTGAACCCGTGTCCTTCACACTCGTCACGCCCTTCATAGCACAGGTGAGCTCACGAACGCCTGTCTCCCTTATCTGCCCATCCATATGTCACGTGCTCTTGTCGTCCCTCCCTCCCTCCCACCGGCTCATCCCTGGTCCACCAGCACGTCCGTGAGCTGAAGGCCGGGCTGCACTTTTTCTCCCCCGCCAGCGCCTCCTCGACCAAACTCATGGACGCCACTATCGACACACTCAAGGTAATGTACCTTTACACAAGAAAGAACTGTGCGCAGGTTGTCATGTGACCGCTCTCTCTCTCTCTCTCTCTGCGTGTGTGTGTGTGCGCTGGCAGCACTGGCCAGCGGTGGAGGAGCAGCGCCTCGTTGTCGCGACGCCGGTCAGCAGGGGTGGCGCGGCACCGAGGTGTCTGCTTGGCTGCAACGGGCACTTCTGATCTGTGTGGGTGGGTGCAGATAGAGATTTGGCGTCTGCTGCGGGCCATGGTCGACGAGCTCGTCGGGGGCGGCAAGAAGGTGAGTCAGTCAGCAGAGCGGCGGGCGACGGACACACCCCAATCCAATGCACTCACTCATCACATCGATTCGATGGGTCAGGTGCCCAACAGTCATGCGCTCAAGAGGCTGCATCAGGTGGTGGCGGTGCTGGTGCCACACCTCTCACGAGACGGCCGCTGCCAACTGGGCTACGGCGCCCAACAGACACACATATTGCTACACGTGCGTGCGTGAAGTGATCGTCTAACCCACAGCCACCAGCCCTTCACCCACCCCACACCGGCCCTCACCTCTCTCCCTCTCTCCCTCTCTCCCTCTCTCCCTCTCTCCCTCTCTCCCTCTCTGTGTGTGTGTGTGTCTGGTTTGTGCTTGTGCAGCTGTGGGATGTGTTGTGGCGAGTTTTCCTGCGCAAGTGCGACTTGGCCTGGATAGCCGACTTCACCCTCACCAAAGACCTATGCACCGCACTCAAACAACACAACATCGTACGCTGCCACCACCCCTCCCAGCCATCCACCCGCTCTTCTCACCCATGTGTGTGTCTGTCTGTCTGTCTGTCTGTCTGTGTGTCTGTCTGTGTGCAGGATGGCCCTGTGTACCGTTCGTGGCGGTATCTGGTCCGCGGCATCCACCGACGTGGCCGCGAGCTGGCCCTGCAGCAGAGACAGGCGGAGCAAGACGACGGACACGACAGCAGTGGGCAGGCCAGCAGCGGACACCCCAGCGGCGGGGCCTGTCCTCCTGCTGCTGCCGCTGCTGCTTTTGCTGCTGCTGGTTTGCCGGGGGCAGCAGCAGCGGTTGCAGAGCTACATGCTGCTGCTGCTGCCGGTGGTGGTGGCGGCCCCAGCCAGCTGACGCCGCCCCTGGAGCAGCCTGCTGTGGTTGCCTTTCTGCGGGAGAGCGGCCAGGCCATCTGCCAATGCTGGACGAGGTGAGGCGCGGGACGAGGGGGAGAGGCACAAACGGCAAAGAGATCGTGTGCACGCACCTTCATGTCTGTGTATGTGTGTGTGTGTGTGTGTGTATGTGTATGTGTGTGTTGGTTGCTGACCTCAGTTGTGTGGAGCATGCCAAGCTTGCCCTCGAGATCGGTGAGGAGCATGTTGAGGATGTGTCGGAGTTGCGCCAGGCAGCCGGCGACAAGGTCGCACAGACCGCCATGGCCTACGAGGAGTTCATGCAGGTCACACAGCCACACACCACACACCACATGCCACATCACGTCACACACACATGTGTCTGTGACCTGCAGATGTTTGGTTCGATGCGTGTGGGCGGACCGGAGGGCGAGGAGGGCGACGACAGTGAGGAGGCTACCACGCTCAGCGACGAGCTGCGGGCAGGTCTGCAGGAGTCGAGCTTCAGCCTGTTTGACGCCGCAAGCGAGTGTGCCGTCCACCACCCTCTCAAGGCTGCGTCCCTCCACGCCATGGCACTGGCACTCAAGGCCGGCGGCACACACACCGCTGACGCAATCTTCGCACCTGACGTGAGATGGAGGGATGAGTGGATGGATGGAGAAGGAGGTCAACGACCGACCCCAATTGTGCGTCTGTCCGTGTTTGTGTGTGTGTGTGTGTGTGTGTGTGTAGGGCCCTGGGGAGAGTCTGCTGCTGAGCATTAAGCTGGCCCTCACGCCTCTGAGCGAGCTGACGGACGACGATGGCGAAGACGGCGGCCAAGGCGATGGTGAGGCCAACGGCGAGGAGGCGGAGCATGACGCAGCCGAGGGTGAGGAGGACGAAGACGGCGATGGTGACGAGCAGATGGACGTAGACAAGGGGCGCAAGAGAGACAGAGACCTCGACCAGGGGGAGGAGGAGGGCGACGAGGGTCCCCAAGCCAAGCGACAGCGGTGAGGACAAACTCAACACAGACAGAGCACACACACACGCACACTCTCTCTCTCTCTCTCTCGCTCGCGCGCGCGCACACACACTTCTTTGTGGCCTCACTCACTTTGTGCCCATTGGCTCGGTCGGTTCGTGTGTGCGCAGTGTGTGCGGCGGTTTCTTCTTTGATGATTCTTTCCCGGACGACCTTGGCCTGCCGCAGATGTTCGAGGAGGGGGAGGGGGAGGAGCCCACGGATCCCACAGATGTACACCAGCAGCCCGAGACCGACCTCCAAGCACCACTAGCCGCCGCACACGCACTCGGTGGGTGAGGTGACTGGCTGATCCATCCATCAAGACACACACACACGCACACACACGCACGCACACACACGCACGCACACACTCCCCCCTCCCCCCCCCCGTGTGTGTGCGTGTGTAGGGGCGTTGGCTGATGTGGCCCCTGTGCAGTTGCGGGATGCGCAGCTGAACTACCCGGACACCTTCGACGAGCACTATGTCAACACCATCTTAGACAAGGTATGGGTGGCTGTGTGTACCTAATCTATCCACGTGTACTGTGTTGTGCTGTGTTGCGTGATGGTGTAGTTGGACAATTGGGTTGAGATCCTGCGTGACGGCAATAAGCACCAGGGGGACGACGTCAACGAGGTAATGGAATAAGCGGTGGAGGGGATGTGGTGGCTGGCCGCTGTGTGGTAAGATGTCGTGTGTTGTGTTGTGTTGTGTTGTGTGTCGTGTGTGTCCTCAGTTGGTCTACACGGTGCTCACCACCCAGTTCGTCCTTACAGAACAGTTCTGGCAAGACAAGTACGCACAGACGCAGCCCTACTCACACACACACACACACACAGACAGACACACAGGACGGCATCCCTCTCCGTGTTTGCAGAGCGGTGTTTGCCGATGTGGGCAAGGTGCAGGAGCGCTTCTCCTTCTGGCTGACCTACATCATGCCAACGCTGCTCGACCGCCTCGACTTTGTCCCCCTGCCCGACGACCTCCACCACATGGACATCGACACACCGCCACACACCCATGCCCGCCACCACCGCCCACACCACAACGCCATGCGGCCCAGCGAGATGCGGGCCCGCTGCGAGTACGCCGCCCGGCAGGCGCATGAGGTGTGGCTGCGGCTGCTGGGCGACTACCTGGCCGACTCGACCATTTCGGAGGACGAGCCGGAGGAGCCGGTGGGCTTCTTCAACCTCTACAAATACGCCAACAAGATGCAGGTGGGCCGCAAAAGACGAAAGAAACGGGTGGCAAAAGGTCAACGTTTGTTAATGTGTCTGTGGGTGGGTGCGTGTGTGTGGCTGCAGCTACTAGGGTATTTGGGTAGTCTGATTGAGCGTTTTTTGGTGTTGGTGGTCGAGGAGGACGGCCGGCGGGCGGCCGTCAAGCGGCTCAAGGCCATCCAGGAACAGGTACGTGTCTGTGGGCAGGGAGCAGCCACTCGTTCGATGGATGTGGGGTGGTGTGATGTGATGTGATGTGATGTGTTGTGGTGTGTTGGTGTGCAGGTGCACCTGCATCCTGGGGAGGCGCCCAGCACACCCACATGAGAGACAGAGGGGCAGATACACCGACGTCCTACCCACCCATGTGTAGCTTTAGTGTCGGTTGGGTCGGCTGGTCGGTCGGTCGGTCGGTCGATGTGAAGTAGATGTGAAGTAGACAGAACTGGGGTGGTGTGTGTGTGTGTGTGCGGGGGGCGGGAGCGGCATAGATAAACCGACCAAGCATCATTCATTCATCGAATGAGTGAGTGAATTCCGGCATGGTATGGCATGGCATTGTCCACTCATCGTCCATGCATCCATCCATCCAGATCCATCCATCCACCCACGGTCTCATTGTCTTGACAAACATCAGTCAATCAATCAGCCAGCCAGTGTACAGGCACCACCTGACGTGCAGCGTCGATTGCCTCTGTCTGTTGGAGGCATATGCACACGCACACACACCAAGGGAATCATTCTGGTGCGTGCGACATGGTGACACCCCTCCCCTCCCTCCCTCCCCATCCTCCCTGCCTGTACAGAAACTAAGCGACCACGCACCTTGGGCAGACAGACAGACAGACAGCGAGCAATTTCCCTCACCCACCACCGCCGCCGCCGTGCCGTTTATACAGTAAACACAGCCGTACGCCTTGCCGACGGTTTCTTTCCCTCCTGACTCAGACAACTGTCTTTCTCATTTGTGGAGTTATCTCCACCGTCACCACTCTGCCCACCACATCATTATCACCAATCTCACCACCTGCTAATGTCCTCATGTCAGCGTCGGCCGCCACGACCGACGGCCACAGCAGCCGCCTCCCATAGGTGACGATGGACACCACCAGACGGCTGAACACCGACAGAGGGGTCGCCCACAAGGCACTAAAGGGCGGAGAGGGGGCGGACACGGAATCCTCCTCTGAGGCTTCTGAGTCTTCTTCCGCCTCTCTCTGTTGCCGTTGCCGACATTCCCTCTCCCTGTCGCCTGTGTGGGTGGCCAGCCTAATCTCCAGCCTGTTCTTGTCCTCGGCCCTTTCGACCGTGACGCTCTCGGGCGGTGTGACCCTCACAGTGTAGCCATGTGGGTAGTGGACGCCCTCATTGAGGTACACGACGGTGGGGGCGTGGATGCAGGGGTCGGGCTCGTAGGTGAGCACGAACAGGCCGGTGGCGGGGTCGAAGGAGGTGCGGTGGAGGGCACCCGCTATGGCCATCGGGTAGGTCCGCGACAGCACACGGACCTTCTCGTACTTGAGTTCCCCCGTGTCGACGTCCCAGAAACCTGCACAACAACACAATACAACACACGGACGGACCTTCCTGTGATGTTGGTTTCTGCCACAGGCACCCCCCCCCCCCTTCACACAGACGTACCTTGGAGGCGGTCTCCGTGGTTTTTGTCGTTGCCGATAGGGAAGGTCTTGAATGCCCACCAGGTCCACGACTGATGGTGCACGTCAGCCATGTCAAGCAGCGCCTTGATGGGCTCCAGCTGCTCGGGCACCCCGTCCACCTCACCAAACTCAGTCATGAAACCACCGTAGGCCGCGCCGCCCGTTTTCTTCTTCTTTCCTTTCCTGTTGGTGGCGCCGTCCAGGCGCCTCAGGTCCCAGAGCGCCATCCGGAACAGCACTGTCAGGGCAAGCCGACATAGGAAACGCTGAGACCTGCAGACAGACAATGGACGGATGGATGGATGGATGCATTGGCCAGGCACAATGGAGATGTGTCGCTTTGTGCGTGTGTGTGTGCGCACCAGCTGATGGGTTTGCCGGCTTCGAAGGGCGAGCAGTAGATGTGGTAGCTGAAGACGCCGCCGGGGTCGTCCGCCCCTAGGTTGAGGGGGTCGCCTCGCAGGCCGCTCTTGAAGATGCTCGTGAAGGCCTTCTCGAAGAAGATGATGTGGTTCCTGTCCACCTCACGGATGCTGCGCGTCAGACGCTGGTAGAACGGACGCAGATTGGCGTAGTCTGAGTGACCCTGCAGGCAGAGCAGACAGACACCACAAGGCTCGTCACGTGCCATTCCATGGAATCTGCGTGTGGCTTGGTGAGTGCCTCACTCACGGACCTGCACGAGCAGCAGTGTCAGGTTGTTGTAGAAGTCGCCTGTCCACGGCTCGTTCATGAGCTCATACCCCAACACATGAGGGTTTTCCCGGAACCTGCTGGCCGCGTACCGCCAGACATTCGAGAGGGCCGTCTGCGCCCCCGCCACGTCGTCGTAGAGGGCCTGGAAGCTCTTGCTGACGCGCTGGCTGAGGTAGTACTCGACGAAGAACGAGTTGTCGCAGTCGCTGGTGGACGGAGTGCCCTTGTCTGTGTTATTGAACGGCGGGAGGATGGGAGCGGGGAAGTCGTCCATGTTGGTGTAGACGCCGTGGCGGTCGAACTCCTCCACCCAGAAGGACGGAATGCCCTCGCCGCAGAAGGGCTCGCTGAACAAGTCCTGGTGCAGATCGAGGATCGTGTAGATGCCTGCAACCAATCAACCAAACAACCAATGCATTGACAGACAACACGTGGGATGCTTGGGGTGGTGGGGCGGTTTGCGTCACTCGTGGGAATGCTTGTAGGCTGGCTGGCTGACTGACCTCTGCTCGACAGCCTGTCCACGATGCCCTCAATGACCCCAAAGTATGTATGGTTGAAGCGCCGCCCGTGCGGCTCCATGCCAGGCCACATAAGGCCGAGGCGCACCACGTTGAACCCCCACTCCCTCAGGTGGTCTATGTCCACGTCAGACAGGGACCGCCACGGATCAAAAGGGGCGTCAGGGGCGGATGGCGGGTGGAAGGGCGGCGACTTGATGACCACGTTAACGCCGTGGAAGAGCCGCTGGCGGCCGTCCCGGTCCATAAAGTGGCGGCTGGACGGATCCACGTGAATGAAGCCATCACCCAAACCGACAAGAAGCAGCGTCGGGAGGAGAAGCCGCTGTAGGGGAGGGATAAAGGCGGTAGTAGTGGAAGGCTGCTGATGCCGCCGCTGTGGCCGTGGCGCAGTGCGTGGCCTGAGGGGCTCAGCTCCATCGGATGAGCCATATACTGGATGGCTCGGCTCAGAACGATAATGACATCTTCGCGCAGAGGATTGTTGGCTTTGTCGCGGCTCCATCTTCTGAAGAGGCGAGCGATGGCTGAGAACGGATGCGAGCTAATGGAGCAAATGATGCGTTTCGCGCAGGTTTTGGGATGCGTGTGAGGTGGCTGATGGTGGATTGATGGACATAGATAACGCTGACGGCCCGGCCGCCGCTGCAGCTGCAGGTCACACCCACCACCATTGCATTGCACACACCGGATGGGATGTGGGTGTGTGGTGGGGTGTTGCTGGTGCATGTTGTGCAGGTGTGCAGGGCGGCGCGGCGAATGGCAGTGTTAGCTTGCGTGACGTCACAGATCAGCTCGACTCGGTGAGAAAGGACGTTTCGCCACACGGTGCATTGCATTGCTCTGCATTGCTCCGTTCTGCTCTGCTCTGCAGATGACATCTCAGATGGCCGCGTGCACAGAGGCGGCGAAGCTCAGCACCTCACAGCTCGATGACAATACAGCTGAGGTCACCACGGAAAGAGAACAGAGAAGTTCATTGGACCGCGCAATGCCATCAGCACTCATTGGCTGTGTTTCTCTGTCTGCAGGACCGTGGCCGGCTGGCGGATGCGCTCAAGACCTTCACCGACGCCCACTCCACTCTTCGCAACCAGCTGACGCACATCCTCACCGTAAGGCCGGCATAGACGCCACAATGGCTCTCAAAAGCAGATGCGTCCATCCCTCTCTCTGTCGCCGTGTGTGTGTGTGTGTGAGGTCAGACATTGCGTGCGCCTCGTTACAAGGTCGGCACTCGTGTGTCGGTGGCGGCCGAGGAGAGGAGGGGCGACTCTGTGTGGGTGACGGCCGCTGTGTACCACACGGAGGAGACCGATGGCGGCACTGTGGTGTTCATGCGGGAGGTGGAGGGGAGGGAGGAGAACCTCAAGCCGGTCACCGTACCGCACCGGACCAAGCCACCACCCCAGCACAACCAAGACCTGGTAGGCATATACACGACAGTCACACGTACGTTGGACCTCCAGTGCGGATCCCTCTCTCACTCTCTCTCTCTCTCTCTGTGTGTGTGTGTGTCCATGTCAGCGAATGGGCGGCAAGACGTTTTCGTGGAAGGGCAAGAGGGATAACCAGCAGGGCGGTGCTGTGACTTCTGTTGGGACCACCACCAAAGCACAGCAATCCACACCGGTACGCACAGACAAACATGCAGCTCATGGCGATGGCATTTTTGCTGTTTGACTTGGCTCCATCCAGGTGGTGTCTGTTGGTGCTGGGAGGCGTTTGCCGCGTGAGGGCCTCATTCTCATCTGCGGCTATGGCGTGTGGCCGCTCTTCGACAACAGCATCGCCAAGGAGGCCGGGGCTCAGTGCCGCCAGGTGGACATCGACTGCTCCCGGGCCGCCGACAGGGCCTTCTGGCAGACGATGCCCGCCAATGTGGCCATGAGGTGGGGCGGCCGCATGCCGAAGATCGCCCGCATCTGGTGCTGTCACCCGGCTGGCGAGGGGGCCTGGTGTCTGGACGTCATCTCGGCGCTCATCGAGGGCCACACAGAGGGCCGCACAGCCATGGTGGCGGAGAAGAGAACAGAGGCAGAGAGGCGGGGAGAGGCGGCCGACATCCCCGACGGCTCACTTACGACGATCGCCTTCGAGGCGGCTGAGCTGAGCGACGAGGTCATGCAGTCCGTCAGGCGCACCAACCCCGGCCTCCCCTCTGTGTCTGCCCCGCTCCCCTCCCTCCCCGCCCTCACATCCATCAGCGGCCTCACCCGCCGCCACCGTGGCATCGGCAACCGCGGCTGGCGCGCCCCGTCGCTGGAGCGGGTGCAGGCGCACGAGCACGTCGACACACTGGGGCC